GAGGAAGAAACGTACATCTACATAGAAACATTTATACCTATATGAACTCATATAACTGCCAATGTTCGTGCACATGAGTATGAAAAGACAAAAATATATAAAATTGTCCTTAAGGCCAAAAAAGGATATGAAACTGAAACTAAAGTAAAACTAAAAAAAAATGTTTTCTTCAATCCTTTATGTAAGAACTTCATGTTTCATTAAAATATCTGATAATTAATCATTTTTGCACTTTGTGGATATGGAATTTTCCTCTTACGATAATGAAACTTTCTAAACGATATGTACTGCTAAAGTCCCAATAAAAATGTCAATTTTAGAATAATACTTCCAGCTAAATTTTAAATTAAAGTACTTTCTTTTCAATATACATCTATAGCTCGCGGCTCTGCAGCCCTCTTGGGCAATCATGTTTCATTACTCAACATCCCCTCAAACCTACGTTAATACTAATTTGCAATTTCATACTCATTTTTAAACACAAAAGGTTTTTCACCTTTGATGCCTTTGACGATGGTTTTGCCCTTGTATTTGTTTTGTATTGGTCATACTCCACCAGTACCTATCCGAAAACAGCGAATCCTTTTCTATATGCCTGCAGCAACATCGCCGTCACTTTGTTTGAATTTATTTCTATAATTTAAAGGTATCCTTTCGCATATACCCTTACAATTTTATTCCCTTTATATAACTCCGGGCAAAATTTTTTATGTTAACCAACTAACAACAAAACAAGATATACATAAGTACAATTCTCGGCCATACATATGTATTAACACTCACATCAATTACCTGCATCCACACACCACATACCTGTCAAGTTAGGCCCAGTTTGACTTTATTATATCCATGGTATGTATGTCCCGGTACAGATGTTATATATATATATTTATTTATGTGCGATATATATAAAACTATCGGTATGCAACTGTATGCAATGAATATATGTAGGTGTATGTATATGTGTATGTATTATTTACAAATTTTATATAACTCAAAACAATATAAACAAAAATTTTTAGTTTGTTTTCGGGATTTGCGCTTGAAATTCGAAGCATTTGTTTTGTACCAAACCAACAAATCAGCTTCCTCCTTATTTTCCCATAAATTTAGTATCCTTTGGCTTTTGTTGTTATTTTTATTTTATTGTTGTTGGCTTCACCGGCGGCCAATATTTGCATGTTATTTTGGTTTAAGGTTAGTTTTTTGGTTTGTTTGTATCGCTTTAAACCTTGCAACTTCGACTTCAACTGAGGGCGTGTCGGGGTGTGTGTGTAGTTATTGAATATTAAAATATGCCCACTTCACAGATATCTCACAAATTATGCGATTTAAACACGTTAAATTCTTTACATTTTACAAATTCATCTAATATATATAATTCAAGTATTTTGGAAAATAATTACAGATACTTTTCTCACTTTATGGTTCATTTAGCAAATTCAACAAATTTGTTAATTTTCAACACAATCAACATATTCGATTTTTAGTTCATCTCGAAAACTCCCACAGAGTTCAAATCAACAATAACTTTGATTCCAATACCTTTGATTCCAATACCTTTGATTCCAATACCTGTGATTCCAATACCTTTCAAGTTGGATTGCGTTTCCAATACCTTTCAAATTGCGTTTTATGCATAGACTTTATTAAATTTCTTCTAAATATCTTTAACAATTTAATTGATTTTAAACCATTTAAAAAAAAAATGTATAAATACCTTTACTGGCTCCCTCAAATTCCCTCTCATAGAAAACTTTCACTCAGTGCATTCAAAATAAATTTCACAACATACTTTTCTCTCCAAATCAATTACGTGGTATTAAGTTTCAGTTATAATGGGAATATTGGGCCACTAAACTCGGTTTTCGAGATATGTTACTTTGAAATTTTTTTTTGTTTTTTTCGGATGTAACTTTATATGTTGTATCATACTGAAGTCTACCACAATATCAAATTAAAGATAATGTAATCGTCCATAATCGGTTCATATTTTGTTTTTCAATCAGTTTAGTAGTTTCCAAAGTTATAAACACATGTATAACAAAAAAATATTTTTTAACCAATATATAAAGAGGTTTCTTCGAACAGTAGTGAACTACAACAACAAAAATTTTATTTTTTATATTATTTTAATTAATTGATTTTTTGGCTGACCATACAGCTGTTTCGAGATTTATCAAATACCCATCGTAAGTTGTGTTGAAAATAATTCTTGCATTTAATTATTCGTAAATAATATTTTGAGACTGCAAGTACCAGGAATCGAACTCGGGTCCTGCCAAACGTGAAGCTCAGAATCAGCGCACCTTAACCAACTGATCCAAAGCCGTACTTGACTTTTTTGTACGCATATTTTTCTGGAGTTTTATTACTTTTGCTTTGAAAGTTTTTATTAACAATTTTCATAAACCTGCTGTAGAATAATTGAATCAATTAATTAATTATATTTTTATTTTTAATCGTTAAATTTCAATACTATTCTGTTCGTAGAGGTATTATTTGTTCTTTCTTATGTGTAGAACCTAATCTAAGAAAGTAATGCTGAGAAAGTCATGCTAATGTTACTCCACTAGTCGTACGGGCGAGATCAATATAATCAATATAGGAAAAGTCATGCAAAAACTGGAAATGTTAAATTATATACGGTTCTTGTTATTTCCGTTTTGATCGTACTTTTATGAAGAAAACAAGTCATTGATGGAAAAGGAACAATGGATAAATATCGACTAAATAAATAATTGAGAGAAAGGTCCAGTTGACCTATTTTCCTTTTCATATAATACGTTGAACACACTGTTAACATTATATGTGAATTTGATACTTGTCTGTTATTTTGCGTTTTAATAAAATATTTCATTAAACTTTAATTTTATCCTTAATGCTAATTTAATTTTATCTTTTTTTATCTCTTATATAAAATAAAAATTAAATGGATTAACATCCAATACTTAATGTTTGAATTTATGTCCAATGGAATACATAGGACCAATATAGTAACATTAAATGTACATAACTTTTTTATTTTTTGGTAAACTAGTATTATTAATCGATGAGTTAAACTATTAGTTAGTCTCTTAGTTAGTCTCTTAGTTAAGCTCTTAGTTAATAAGCTATTAGTTAATAATAGTATTAGTATTAGATTACCAATATATCTTTCGGCCCTAAAAAAAACGACAGGAATTACTCGTACTTCTGTTTGAACAGTTAGATGAATTTATTCAATTATCACCAGTGCTTTTAAAGGTATGAAATTGAAGCGCACAGATAAATCGTTATCCTTAACTTCAAGAAATATATAAATAATTCACTATTCATAATAAAGTCTTCGGTTTTCAAAACTGACATAATTTTTTAGTCTGATAATCCCTTTTACATGTCTTTCTTATCAGTAATGGAACCAGTCAAAATATCAACAAATTTAAATTGTGGGTTGAATTTCAAATGCATTCTTATACGTAGAGGTTCACAAACTGAGATTTATTTCAATGAGTAATATTTAAAAAACACGTCCTCATAACCTTCGAACTAGAAAAAAGTAACATAAAGAACACATAATTTTCTACAAGATTGATATGAGTATAAGGGAAATATTACTAGCAAACTCAAAATCATGTCCTTTGATTCGGTTTACCCCTCTCAAAAACGACTAAAATCACTTACCCCTTCCAGTTTTCAGAAAGTAATCCTTATTCCTGGATTTGTGTGAATAATCTCTTAAAGTGT